TAAGTAATCTGAAGTCTCATAACAATGCTGTTTTTTCCTTTTTGGCTAACGACAAAATAAAATGGTATTTCAACCCCGCGTGCTCAGCCCATATGGGTGGTTTTTGGGAAGCAGCGGTTAAAAGCACAAAATTTCAACTAAAGCGCGTTCTTGGCAACGATACCTCGTTGACATTTGATAGAAGCATGTTTACATTCGCGACCGCTTAACCCCCTCCCCAACGACGTTAACGACTACAATCGATGCGATGGACTCATCTGCAATGATTCGTCCTGAAAAACTTCATTTTAGGTACTTGTGACAAAAATAACTATTTTCATGCATAAATTATAATATCAGTAAACAAACGTTGGTATACCCGCCACCGTCCACTGTCTATCGCCTATATTTGTGTGCTATTCGTTCTTTTGGCCTCGGGGCGTGAAAGAAGAAACACCTTGACCTATGTTCTCTCTTAACTGTTTCACCAGTTGTTTTACAAAACTGCAAACGTAATAATATTTTCTGGAGAAGCGTCAGTTAATTAATAGGTACCAAGCAACTTTGTATTTACCTTTTTTTCCTGTTACAGATATTCGAGGTACAGTTTATTATTACATTCTCAGGTCGCCGCATGCACACCCGCCATGTTGTTATGGGCTGTTTTTTAGTGCACTTTTAGTACCTAAGTATAACGTACTTATTTTGACAATTGCCTAATTATTCTGCTACGGCTAGTCAGCTTCAGTTCGGAGGCCATGGGTCTATGGGTTCCTTGTATACATCTTACCTTTGGGCGCCACCAAGTTAATTGTGACTTAACTAGGAAGATAACTTAATGATGTTATAAACAAAACCTGTGCAATTGGAGAGCTTATCAATAAAACAACTAATTAGGTACAATAATGTATCTGCTTCTTTATTAAAAAATAATAACAATAATGAATCGGGATAGCCAGGATGTTGTTAAAAATGTGTATACATTATGGCTTGTACCAATTTATAAATATTTGATTATAAAAAAAAAATGAATGTAAATAACGCATATATAAATATGAATTTTAAGTAAACATGACTAAAAACCTTTTGGTATTTACACTTGTGAGTGATAAGAAAAATACACTTTACCAACAGGCAAATTAAACACAGAAAGGTGAAAGTTATTGTTAGGGCAACCTCAGGGTAAAATTCTAGAATTTTATTTAAGGGGCACTCACCGAACCTAATTCAGTATCAAGTGACTTGTATAGGATTTGCCTAAATAGTAAAAGGTGCAACTTACATGTGATACAAGTGTTTGTTATCTTTAAATGTATGTGTAAATCCAGAAGTTTTGAAGGGAGATTATCTACAGGTTTGGTCTCACTGTAGACAGACTATGGTATGGTAAGTGAGTCATGAGTCCTATCCACGTTGTATCTGTTTAACGTTGAACCCAATGTGGTTCTAGCAGAGTGCTACCAATAGGGTTGCTGAAGGAAGGCTAGCAAAGCCCAACTAAGAGCAATCTAGATCTAGTCTAGAATCTCTTTAATTACAGCCTAGGAGCTGTCTAGATATAGCCTAGAGTCTTCCAAGTATAACCTGGCACTAGGACCCTATAACGATGTTCGTATAAAAAAACAAATCGAGCCCAAATATTAGAAATAATCTTACCTCAAATTGAGGGATACTCTAGACTGTCTAGACCAAAGGTGAAGTCTTAAACTTCCAAAAGCTGCTTGGAACAGTCCGAAACAAAATCCAAAATGACCAAGGGACGACTCTAGACAATTAACAACAAAAAATTAGTCTAAACGAGTTCCCTGGTACAAAATTCCAAAAAGTTTCGCCCAAAATCAATTAGGGCCGAGACCAACCTTTCGGAATCAAGTCTCAAGATCAAAAGGGCAGATTCTTCATTTAGATTTCGGAAGAAGGCTTTCATTTGTCAAACTTCTAATTTTGACATTGAAGAAAATTATAGAAAAAAGCGTGTTCAGTTTCACCCCAAGAATACGAACTGGAAGATTGGTTGTGTAAAAATGACTGGTGAATGTTGAAAAGTGCCTATAGAACATATATCAAAAAGTAGAACAGGTCTAAAGAAAACGCCTAGACAAAACAGCTGTTCAATGACATGATCGAAATGAAAAATCAAAAGAAGTAAACAACAATTTATCATAACCTCAGATTATTTATTAATTGGATTTGCAAACAGAGATGATGAAAAAATCTCTCCTTTATATAAGATTCTAATCAATAACAGCGGGCCCTGCCGTACTGAATCAAACCTTCCTAGATCAATTAACCAAACTTGCAAACCTGAGCTAAAAAAAACTTTCAGTAGAAGGCAGTACTCAAGGTAATAAAATCTGGGCACAGAAAAGATAGTTGTTCATTCATTTATTTCTTTATAGTTCTATATAGAATCATATCTACTAGAGCAAAACACAGTAGCATATTAAACAAGAAATTGAAAATGCTACATAAGTTTATAATATTTTTTTAGTTTTTCATAAGATTTTTGATAGGTTATTCGTCAGTATCATCTCCTTCTTTATTGGCACAGCCTTAAACACAACAATAATAGAAAACCGTATTGAAAAAAAAAACACTATAATATTATTATTATTATACCACGAGTTAATAATGATAGCTATTATTCCCGAGGAATATTTACGAACTGAGCCGCGTTAGTGGCGAGGGAGTAACATTCCGAGGGAATAATAGCCATTATTGTGAGTAGTATACTCTACTTTATTTACGACAAGTTAATTTATTTGAGATTTTTAATGAACAAATTTCATTCATCTGAATTTTCAATACAAATGACACTTTTGAGGAATAATGACCATTATTCCCGCTACTCGTCATTATTCCCTGGGGGAATAACATATGTCATTATACTGCCAAAATCACAAGTATAATACATTATACATTAGTCGTAAATAAAGTTAATAATACTGCAAATAAAATTCAGTAATTCCACACTAACAGCAAAGTCTCTGAGGATGAAGTGGTGATGGCACGAATTCAAAAGCTTTCACTGCAGTAATACCTATTCTATAAATGAAGGTATATTTTTAAGGATTTTGAGGGTCTCATTTGGTGCACAAATCACACCTACATGTGAATGTCAAACAATGGCGAATAAAAACCATCACTAATCCCATTTCCACGAGCATTTCCACTATGTTAAAATGTAACATAAAGTCTCTTTTTTTAAAAACATATTAAAAAGTCAAAATTTAATCAAAAACTGATAGGAAATTAAATAAAAGAACACACACAGATCAAACGGCTAACTGATGACAAACACCACTTAACATGGAAGTTTCCTATTTTTAGGAAGGGTTAATTTGTGGACATATGTAAAAAATTTGGCAAGTACAGAGTTTTTTGCGTTCAGGGAAAGAGGGCATTTAGCACTTTCATCCGGCCGATACAAATAAACAGGATCAGTAAAAGGTGAAGTTATTTGTTTATTGTCTTTCCCTGGCAGTTCCCAGGTCCTTCGAAGAAAACACAGTAATGAGAAAGTGCTTTTAATTGTATATGGGCATTCAAGCCACAAATATCTTTAGTTAGCTATCCTTTAATGGTCCTATAAAGACTTATTATGACCAGGAGATCTCCAAGTGATTAAAGGCAAACCTAGAAGAGTCCTAACTCAGTTCCAGATTGCCTCATTATTTGCAGCTGCATACTGTAAAGCTGCACAAACTAGTGTTGCTAAAAATAGATCCGCAAAAAACTGGGATTTGGCCAGTGAACCCTTAAATATTTTCAAATTACCTTCTTGCTCCAGCAGAAACGACTAATGTAAAAGAAAACAAAGACCAACCTCCGCAACAAAATTTAAATGAAAATGAAGTCCAACTAAAAAATATTCCTAAACCAATTCCCTCGACTTCAAGAGCGATCCAGGCTGAAGGAAAGTCGACATTAAAAACGTTTTAAATATTGCTGCAGAGAGAGCGCCTAAAGTAAAGCTCTCACAAATATCACTATTACCTCAAGTAACTTCAAGAGTAACAAAAAGGAAACGAAGATACATTGGTTCGCATATTTTGACATACTCTCCTAACTTGGAGGAAGAAAAACAGGAAGCGGACACAAAAGCTATACGTGAACGACGCAAAACAAAGAGGGAAGTGAAGAAGCGTTCGTGTCGGTAATACCCTACACTATGCTAGTTCTTGGGTTTAGTTGGTCGTCCCTCTAAAGGCCAGGATAGACGCTCCGTCATGTCCATCAAATTGTTTGCGCAAACTTATATTGTACGGCAAGACTTAATCCTTATTTGACTCCTAACTATTCAGTCTTGTTGATCAATTAACCGTTCAGTTTAATAAAAAGCAATATGGCTAATTTGTGCGGCGGCTATTGCCATTGTAGTGAAAAAACGGAAATTGAACAAGAGAAAACGTTCCAAATGGTCGAAAGAATGGTTACTTAAGCGACAACAATTATCAATTACCTATCACATGTAAATTCACTGGATGAGCTTCGATTAGAACTTGAGGCTGGCTTAATTATTTACGGATGAACAAAGAAACTTACATGGAATTGCTCCAGATAGTTACGCCTTAAATCGAAAGGATGGATACGGTTATGAGAAAAGCAATATCTCCACATGAAAGACTCAAAGGATTAAAAACTGAATATTTGGAGCTAAATAAAGTATTTCTTGTGCAACCGTCCGCGAAATTCAATTTCGCGGCCACTACATTTTACCTGCAAAATTTGTCGAATCCATAGAAACGCTATGGTGGCCACCAGTTATAGGTATATCAAAATGGTAATACGTTCCACATTTTAGTTGGAAAGAGTACAGTTTTTCTGTAATTTTCATAGTTGCACAAAAAATAGTGTGTTTACCATGACCGCGAAACTTTTTAGCGTACGAGAGAAAAGTTATCGCCTCGGCCGCGGCAAGATAATCTCGAGGAAAAAGGCATTTCGCGGCCTTGGTATATAAATAACTATTATTAAAAATAACATACACAAACACAATATAAAAACGTATGTACACCTATTCAATATTCTTCAAAGTTATATTGTGCAAAATATTCCCCAAGGCGTAATGAGCGATCACTGGTTGCTTCTCCTGTCGGTCTTACAACTTCAGTTTCGATGGGCAGACTGAGCTCCTGATGGTTATACGGAAAAGTGTCCATTGTACGAGAAGTTGTCGTATATTCCCCAATGCGTTGTGAGGGTTTATTGGCTGCCTCTACTCTCGATCTTCTAACTTCAGTTTCAATGGGCAGACTACCCCGGGCGTGGTGGTCATATTGCAAAAATGTTGGGGCTCTATCTATTACGATTTTTGATGTTTCGTTTAATTTTCCAATTGGTGGTCGAAAGATTGCTTCATTGATAAATTTTTTGAAATGTATGGCCATCTCGGGGTAAAGTTCCTGAAGTTCTGTAGCTACGTTCCGGCCGAAAGCTGAATATTTGCCTTGATCCTGAAGTTTGTTTGCCACAAGGTTTAAGACTTCATCGCTGCGATCAAAATTCTTTTGATTTTTGCTTTTGATACCCATTCTGGAAATTGTTGAAGTCGTGGAGAGCATTGCTGACAGAGGACGCAATGCTGTTTCGGAAAAATTCACATTCGAAATTTCTTCATAATTGTCGTTGTTCTCGGTAATGTTGCAATCGTTTGTTACAAATAATTAAAGTTTTTATTTGTTACTTTAAGAAAAGATAACCTAGGGTCGTGAATTCAAAGAAAAATTAAGATAACGTGTAGCCCTTTATGTGCAAATGAAACCACTCAAATTCCAACAAACAATAATTTTATTTTGTTTACAATGTTCTGTAAACTTTCAGTGTTAACAGCTTGGTTTTTCTTGGTGAATCTGATACCAAGTACCTGCTTCCCAATCCGGAGCTCTTCAATGGGTCTTGGGGTTTCACTTTCGTGAACTGGAGCTCTTCGTGTTGTTTCCTGTATCCAGGAAGAGGATAGATTGCTGAAGTGACGTCACTCCAGCTGATCCAGACTCTAAACAGTGATCTTTATGTAGAATAGGTACCCAGAAAAAAAAGGCAGTATCAGGTTCACCAATGTTTGGAACATTTAATTCCTGAATTCTGTCAAAAAGTGAGTGTCTTGCATAGGAAATTGAAATTGAAATTGAAATTTAGTATAAAATGATTGTTGCACAGACACTCCTTTCAACAGAATCAGGTATAAAAACTATTGCAAGTAGTAAAAATTAATAATATTTCAACCTAAAAAAAAAAATATTGAATAACTAAGAATAATGATAATAGTAAAATAAAATAATAACAAGATTTAATTATAATGATTATAATGCTCCTTATAATCGAGCAAAATGCTGCTTTCTTGATAACAGTTTTGGCAGGCAAAAATACGAGCAAAAATAGGGTAGGTAAAAAAAAATAAGAAATGAAATCTCTGGATTCTCTCCTAAATAGACAAAATTTTTCTCTCGAATTAAGGTAGCTACCACAGATACTAGATAAACCTGGGGTTGAAATTAATCAAATCCAGAATGTGTCATAATTCTTGAGATGTTTTAATTAAAACTTTTTACTGAATTTTTGACCTGTCTGGATTTCTATTGAAAAATTACACCCTTCAGTTGAGATAATAATTTAGGGAGTCAAACAGAAAATGGTTGTTCAGGCCTCTGCCTGGATTCAATAGAGTTAATGGGGATGGACTCACAAATTTGGTTCTCACCGACTCTATTTAGAGCAAATGGTCCAATATTCCCACACTAAAAATTATTGATTCTGAAAACCAGGGCAGCAGTACCTATTTAAAATCCAAAAATCTTTTGACTTACCTCTTATAACAAAACGTGGCACCAACCAATAAGCAATTCACACAAAATGGAAGCCAACAATTAGATAAAAAAAAAACTTAAAATATAATATTTATATTTCAAAAACAGATAAGATAAGATTTATCAGGTAAAAACTTAATAAAGATATGATAATTTGAATATTGAAATATTTATAAGGGAGGATCCAGAAATTTAAAGCACAAAATTATTTTAAAAATAAACTGGACTTGCCTGCCAGACTATTTTTCAAGGAAAGAGAGCGTTTTAGAAACCACAGCCAGCAGGAAAACGATCACGTGTTTTTTATACTTACTGCATTCCAACCAGCTTCAACCAATCAGAAGAGTACACCCAAAAGACCATATTCACTTCAAAATGAAAACACAATGAAAGACCGCATGGAATAAAAGAGAATGGATAAAAATCCACTAAAATTATTTCAATTGTTTACAAATTATAATAATTTAAATTGAGGTTATGTCAAAAATAAAAAAAACTATTAATTAATTAGATCATTAGGCTAAAAAATGATTATTTCAGAATCAGAGGTTAGAAAAGGACAGAAATATATCCATTTGCTAAAAGTGAAATAAATATAATTTCTTTCAATGAAAATACAAATGACTGTCAAATGCGAATTAACCAAAAATCATAGTTTGAAAAATAAATCATCGGGCACTAGATGGCAGTACCGGTAAGATATCCGCACTTTACGGACATGATAGATAGATGGCAGCACTATATATTTTAAAATATTAGAAATTATTTTGAATTCTGAAATGGAAAAAATATAACTTTATAATGACAATAAGAAGAGATGGAACATGTTACGTAAATGATAAATTTATCGTAACACGTTCTAAAAAAAAAAAAAAAAACCTTATTTTATACCCAAAGGCAAAGGCGCTTCCCATTTTCACATAAAAAAAAAACAGAATTGTAGGTATTTTGAACCATCATTCTTGTTTCTTTCAGATTCCAAGCAGCGAAGTAGAATGGAGAAGAATTGGTAGAGAATTTGAGGAAAAATGGCAGTTTCTGAATCGTTTAGTTAGCATTGACGGAAAACACATACGAATAACGCCACCGCAAGACAGTGGCTCTTTCTACTGGAATTATGCGGGATAGAATAGCTTAGTTTTAATGGCAATTGCTAACGCTAATTACGAACTGATTCACTGTCACATGGGCACGAATGGTCGAGTTTCGTATGGAGGTGTTATTGAAAATTTAATGAAAAACTTGATGGGCTCTTTCAATAATTTTTGAAATTGGAATAATTGGATAAAGCAACTAAAAACAGAATTTTCTATATTTTTACTTTTCAAAAATTCTCAGTCCTTCCTGAGAAAATAGAAAAAAAATACCTTCAAATAAAAACCAGAATTTTTTCGACTGAAGTCACAGCTTGCATTTTGAGCGTGTTGCCACTAATTGTCAACATTGAAAATTTGTAATAGATTCAATTCTAAAATGTTGGCAAAATATGAAAATATCATGAAAAGTAGTTAAATTAATTAGTTATGGATTCAAGATTTTATAACCTTTTTTTTTTTTTAATTTACTATGCCTATGCACAATTTAAATCAATTTTTTATGTTTAGTTTTTTTTTTTTGTTTCAATGGCACTACATTTAGTCACAACCGACAACAGCGCATTTGAACCTTTACGTGCTTTTACTAAACGGTAACACAGCCGAGCCGGTCAGCTGCTTGCAGCAACTTGGGCCAAATGAAAATTATTCAGATGATGTCATCCTGTCTCGGTGTCTCCTGATCGGTCAAAAACAGCAATAAATCAAAATACCATAAATTTGGATTATATTAATCGTCTGTACCCATACCCGAATGAGCGCTTCTAGTTTTATTCAACTCTTTTCGAAAACAAGTGAGCAAAGAATTTTTTCTTTTTTTTTATCGCGTCTTTGTTGACTTTTTGGGATCTACCTCTTTTAATTTTTCTATGAGTATCCCATATGCTGCATTTTTCTTGTGTTCGTGCGAGTATTCTTTGGAATTTACCTTCCAAAGATGAGGATTTTCCCTACATAAATTGGTATAATTCGTCTCTCGACATCGGACGTAGGTCTGACATGCGCCAATTTACTATGTTATCTTCTTTTTGAATTATTAAATTCGTCGCTCCCTACCCTGCACAAGGAAATTTTCTCTAGCAGAAGCTCAACTAATAAGTTGAAAGATCTGTCACTGCATGCCACACAGTACAACTTATCGCTACAAGTTTGTATACGCAGGAGAATATCTGACAGGTTTGATTTCATTCAAGCCAAACAATTGTCTGTGCAAATTTGATAAGTCTGCCGACTTATCAGCACTAACGCTGCGATAATTCGTTTGCGTAAGCAAGTTGATGGACATGACAGAGTGTCTATGCCGGTCTTTATAGAAGAGAGATCTTCAACTGTTTCCAAACCTCTTATAGGCGACCGTTGTATGAACAAGGTTCTTACAGTCTGCCCCATGGCTATATGAAGATCTAAAAAGGAGAGAAGAGAAGTAGAGAAGAGATATCTTCACCCATGGTCCATGGTAGAGAATAAAAATGAGCCCTTTTTTAGGTTGTAGATTGTCCAGCTCTTGTTCCAGTTAGTGATGCCACGAGACGAGAATACGCTCTATCTCGTCTCGTCTCCAGTTTCGAGAGAAAATGATTCTCTCGTCTCGACGAGAGTGCTCTTCTGTCGTCTTGTTTTCTCTCGTAAAATGCAAACAAATTATTCTCACTCCTTAACTAGCATGTATAAAAATTTAATATTACCTATAATACCCATGATTCTGGAAAATATTGAAATTTTCCAGTGGTGTAGACGTTTATGTACTTTTTTTTTTATCTTGACAAAGGGTTCGGGATGCCATTGGTTTAATCGATCCCATTTTAAATACATGAACGCTTTTGTTTTTTTATTTACAACCACATACGTAATGTTGACATTTCTGACTTTTCAAAAGTTTGAAAGTGACACTTTTTTGAACTTTACTTTCCACCCGGGTGGAAAGTAAGTTCTCATTTCCTAAAATGTTTAAGGCGAGTCCTGCATGTCAAACGTTTTTTTAAATGAGTCAGAACTTGTCAACAAATTTTTAATTTTTTTTTTAGTATTTAGTCGAAATTATAAGGGTTGTAATTGTTGTAAATAAAATAGTATACAAACCTCGGTAGGAAGTTTCATTCCTGTCTCGAAATTATAGTTAACTTCGACGCTTCGCGTCTCAGTTAACTAACTAATCTCTCGACAGTAATGAAACACTTTCGGTAAAGTGCACTTTACCACACTTATTTGCAAATGAAAAGTGGCACTTTACCGCACACTATGCGGTGAAGTTTACTTTACCGCATAGTATGCGGTAAAGTGGACTGAAAAGTGTGCGGTAAAGCAGACTTTGGTATTTATGATTAAAAATTCGTTTCTTTTCAGAAAATGGATTTTTGATCATTTCTAAATCTAATCTAATTTTATTAATTAATCTGATTTAATAATTAATTTGATTAATGCCTTTTTTGGAGATGTAGATGCTCATAGGTAAAATTTTGTACCTAACACATGCGGAAAGTGCCTTGACCGCACTTAACGGCTTGACCGAACTCCGCTTCGCGTCGTTCGGTCAACTGCCGTTGCGTGCGATAAAGTATCACTTTCCGCATTTGTTAGGTAAATAACTATT